TGAATAATATGAATGAGTTCCTTGTTTTTCAATGCAGCGTAGTATTCCATTGTGTGAATATACCACAGCTTCTCTATCCATTCGTTTGTTGATGGGCACCTGGGTTGTTTCCAACTCCTTGATATTGTCAACAGAGCTGCGATAAACATGGGTGTTCATATATCTGCTTGGATGTCAGTTAGGGTCTCTTTGGGGTCTATTCCCAGTAGTGGAATTGCTGGGTCAAATGGTATATCTATTTGCAACTTTTTGAGAAAGCACCATACCGCCTTCCACAGTGGTTGCACCATTTTACATTCCCACCAATAGTGAATAAGGGTTCCAGTTTCTCCACAACCTCGCCAGAATTTGTTGCTTGCTGTTCTGTTAAATTTTGCTATTGTGACTGGGGTGAGATGATAATCTCATAGTTGTTTTGATTTGCATCTTTTTTAGAGCTAAGGATTTTGAACATTTCTTCATGTGCTTGTTGGCCATCTGCATGTCTTCTTTGGTGAAGTGGACATAATTTTTTTTCATTTCTCCTTTAGTAAAATCCTTTCAGAATAAATAATGAAATAAATATGAAAGCAAATAAAAAATAGTCAAATATAAGTCATTTTAGGGAATGTATTGTGAGAAGAGAGAGGAAGAAAAAAATGTACACAACTAGCAGCAGTTACTTACAACACTACAGTCATGTGTTGAAACATTTCAGTTGGTGTTTTCAGTTCAAGGAACCTTACTTCTTCAGTGTAGTGTAAACCTCTTCCTTCGTTGTCATCAGTTCTTGCTTGTATACTGCCTCTTAAAATGGAATGCCAGTTAATTAATTTTTGGTCCAGTGACTCTAGTCCTAGCTTCTTTTGATCCTTCCTGTGTCATTCAATATTATGCCTGTAGAATCCTTCAGTATTGCTGTTTGAGGCTTGAATATTTTTCCTCCCCGCCTTTTCTTTTATTGTGGTTTTAATAATGGTTTACAGAAAATTGTTTTTCCTTCCTCCCTCCCTCCCTCCCTCCCTCCCTCCCTCCCTTCCTTCCTTCTTTCCTTCCTTTCTCATTTTCCTCCCTTCTCACTCCAGTAAAGCATGAATGTTTCTGTCAACTCTTTTAGCTTGGGAAATGATGAGTATGTTTGTCCCTTTTGGTTTTCTAACTTAAGGTCTTTGCACGTTTCATTATAATATTTTACCTTGTCTTCTGGAGCTCCCTTTTGAAATCTGCTTTTTTACTCTTTTTACTTCATCATATCTTCCTTTTGCTTTAGCTATGCTATGTTCAAAGGTAAGTTTCAGAATGTCTTCTGTCATCCATTTTTGGCTTTTCTTTTTTGTCTTGTAAATGACTTTTTACCCTCTTTGTATATCATATTCTTGATTTCATCCCACAGCTTGTCTTGGGTTATTAGCATTCAGTGTGTCAAAACTGTTTTTGAGGTGGTCTCTAAAAACACAGGGCGCATACACAAAAGAGTAAAATGAGATTCACAGACACGTGTTCCCCCCCCCCCCCCATTATTTATTAACTGTTAGTAATAGTGGTTTCAAGAAAGCAGAAGTTAATTTTTCTCTCACATAGAATTATTCTTGAGGTAGGCCCAGTATGGCTTATATGATGACTTCTTGGACATTAATAGCACATGTTCTTCTGTTTTTCTTTTGCTTTAACCCTTGATTTAGGACTTTAATTCTCAAGGTTGTCTCATGATTCTATCATTATATGACATCATTCTAGGCAAAACCAAATAGATTAAATGATGATGATAATAAAAAAGCACATAACTCTTATGTCTCACCCTTTTAAAGTACCTTCTGGAAGACACTTCACTTAAGCTTTAATTTTAGCATTGAGAACTTAGTCTTTGGAAAACAGCCATTTTTTTTTACAAAAAAAGAAGGTTACATATACTGCTATTCTGAATGAAGTTAAGATTTTGTTACTAAGTAAGAAAAACGGATGAAAAGTGGGTAGACAACTCCTACTTTCAGATATGTAGTAGATGTGTATGGGGGAAATCACTTATTGGGGGAAATTTTGGTAATAAGGGAAATTCTTTTCATAATGGCTTTAAATTCCATACCCCTCAGCCCCTTTTAAAGGAAACTTTGTTTAAAAAGTAGTTTTCTTAAAGGAAAATGAGCTTCCATTTTAAGTTTGGAGCAATTGGAATAATTGTGCCAGTCTAACAGATGGAATATTAAGTAGTAAGGGTATGTGCTGATGAGAAAGAAATCTTGGCAGTGTTTTTTGAGGGTTCTCACTCCTTCTCAATTTGACGTGTTTTGTGAAGACTACAGTGTGACTAGCAAGGTGGCAAGAGACAGTGAAGAGAGGAATACTCACAGATTTGTTTCTAATAGATAACCATTTTAAGCATACACTTAACTATATTCTTGAATCAGTTGCTTTCCCGAGTTGGACCAGATGATCTTTAGAACTTCTATAAACCAGTTACCTACTTAATTCCCAATTTACTAAACAAAGCAAAATCTTAGAGGCTCAAAGTTTCTTATAGAAAACCTAATACAACAGAGTGATGATTTGAAAGTTTTCAAAAGTAAAATGTGGAAGATTTTTAGAACAAATGACTTGTTAGGCCATTGAGAATTTTTATCTTATTAAATCTTTTGACAGTTGATAGTGTATATACTGAAAAGCAGATGTTTGGGGAAAGGGATTGGGAATATTTATTAGATAAAAATTAATTTATGATAATTCGTGGAGTCTTGGTTTATAGCACTGACTAGGATAGAAATACATTGTTTTCTAAGTTAAACTATAATTAGATTTCTGCAATTAACTACTTACTACCCCATTTTTGCTAAGTCTATCAGAAGTTTGAAGAAACCTCTCTGCATGAGATTTTCTTGGTACTGAATTTATGTAATCTCAAATTTTTTTCCTGGATATAACTTAAATAATGCAAATTAAAACAATAACTTCCTAAATTTAAAGATTTTAAAAATATTTGTACCAACCCGTTGCTGTTGGGTTGATTCTGACTCGTCATTCTATCTGATAGGACAGGATAGAACTCCCCATAGGGTTTCTAGGCATATAAATCTTTAGGGGAACAGAGAGGCACATCTTTTTTTTTTTAATTTTTATTGTATCATTTTTTACGAGTACCGTCAAATCAGATCTGACTGGTATAGGAGGAGATTGCCCCCTCCTTCTCCAGAAGAGCATCTGGTGGATTTGAACCGCTTACCTCTGGGATTGCAGTGCAGCGTCTTGCCACTAGGCCAGCAGAGCTCCCTTGAGGCACATCTTTTCCTTGTGAAATGACTGGGAGATTGAAATCTCCAGCGTTTTAGCTATTAGGCAAGCACAACCACTATGCCGCTTGGGCTCTATAATAAATATTCACTCATTACTGTTGAATTGGAACGGATTCATAACTGACCCTCTAGCAGATTTTGGAAGCTGTAAATCTTATAAGGAGGAGATTGCCCACCTTTCTCCTTAGAAGCTAGTGGTGGATTTGAACCATAAGAGAGGTGCCACCTTTAGGTTAACAGTGCAACTCCTCGTTGATGGTAAATGAAGAGGCCTTAGTGGAATAGCAGGTTAAGTGGTGGGCTAATAACCAAAGGGCTGGTAGTTCAAATTCACCAGCTGTTCCAAGGGGGAAAAATTAGATAGTCTCATGCTGTAATTCCAGTGGAGGGTCACCAGGACCTCGAATCCACTCCACAAGAGTAGTTTTTTAAAAATTCTGATTGAATTTATTTTTATGCTAGTAAAGTTGCTTGGGATACTTCATCTAAGTTAAGTGAACTGGAACTATACTTCTGATATACTTTGTATATAACCCTGGAAAAATAGAGTGTAGTAGAGAATTGCTATAATCATAGGTATTTTCTTTCTTTCAGTGTCCCTCAATGAAGTTTCTTTACTAGTGGATACCACACATTTAAAGAGGTTTGGATTATGGAAAAGTAAGGATGATGACCCCAGTAAAAGGAGTCACGCTATCCTTTTTCTTTGGGTTTCATCAAATTATCTTCAGGAGATTCAGGCCCAGTTAGAAAATTCTGTATTAAGCCAGCAATGTAAGTATACATTTATTTTTAAATTTCAGGACAACTTGAGAAATCTGTAACTGCAGTATTTATTTTAAATTAGTTTATTAGGCTTGTTGTGATTGTATCCAATGAATAAGAATTTTATTCTTTAATTTTATAGAAAAAAGATTGCTGCTTTTATTTACATAAATTTCTTTTTTACAGTTTTATTCATCCAAAGGAAATAATCTTCTGCTTCGTGCTGTGCACTGATAGTCAATACTGTTACAGAGTTTCCATTATAATGTAATATAGAATGTCAGTTTAAAATTTTTGAGTTTTAGGTCTAACCTTTTAGTTGCCTATTGTATGATTTTAATTTGCCTAGATATTACCTCACATTTAAAATCCTTTGTTGCATTATATATTAAACTTATGTCTAGTAATAATGTAGTATTTTAAATTATAATTTCTTGGAAAATAGTCATGTAAATAAGAATTGTTTTTTTTTCTTTTATAGCAAAATCCAGTGAGTTCATTTTCCTTGAACTTCACAATCCTATTTCACAAAGAGAAGAATTGAAATTAAAAGATATTATGACAGAAATAAGTATAACCAACAGAGAAGTAGAGCTTGCTTTTCCATTGTCTTGGACTCAGGCATTCCCTTTGTTTCAGAACCTCTCTTCAAAAGAAAGTTCCTTTATTCATTATTACTGTGCTGCAGCTTGTTCTTTTCCTGCTTCTGCTACTGAAGAAATGAAGATGAAAGCAGTATCACAGGTTAGCACATGTTTGCTATGCTTTGGTGACATTGGGTAGAAATTATTTCATTATAATTAGCCTCTTTTCAAATGTTCTGTTTTGTTGAGAAGGGTACAGGAATCAGTCCAAAAGTCCCTCCAAAACTGGAACAGTTTGATCAACAAAATAAAAATTGCATGAGATTATAACCAAAAAGTAGAAAAAAAATTAATGAATTGCCAGTCATATAAATAGATAACTGAATGACTGAATAATGAATGGAATATACAAATAACTTTTCCTGAGATAACAGTTTCACTTAATAAATATAAAAAGAATATGGGACATAAAATCAGTAATAGAACACCACAGTAATAATTTTAATAGGCAAGATCTGTCAGTGGATGCTAAAATTAATGGATGCAGATTTAAAGAAAAATAGATATTTGCATAGTCTCAAAATACTTTATTTAAAATATTAATTACAGAAAGAAAATACAGAAGACATCACTTTAATTAAGTGATCAGAGTAAATAGAACTTGTAATAAGACCCATTACTATGATACCAGTAATTGTTCTACCCAAGCTAATCATGAGAAAAATCACATGATTTGAAAAAAGTGTCTGGAGCTCTGGTGGCCTAGTGGCAAGAAGCTGCACTGCAATCCCAGAGGTGCATGGTTCAAATCCACCAGCTGGTCCGCTGGAGGAGGGACAATCTCCTCCTGTACTAGTCAGGTCTGATTTGACGGTACACACACACACAAATAATAAAATAAAAATATTTAAAAAAAGAAAAAAGTGTCTAATTATTACTCTTTATTATCATGACCATGACACTGACTTACTAAAACCAAGAAATTATGAGATCCTAAAATAGAAAACAGGGAGCGCTGGTAGCCTACTGGTAAGAAGCCACACTGTAATGCCAAAGGCATGCAGTTTGAATCTCCCAGCAGCTTTGTGAAGGAGGATGGACAGTCTCCTCCTGTGCAGTAAACTGCCTCTGAAAACATGCTGGAGTGTCAACTAAAGATCAGTATTGAGTTGAAGCTACTCAACAACAGCAATAGAATAGAAAAAGGATCCCTTGTAATACAGAGTGTGATACATGGATTTGGCTATTCTAATTGACCAGCCGCTCCATTGAAAAAAGATGGTCAGGCATCTCCTTTAAAGATTTACAGCAATTGGAGACCTGATGGCAGAGTCACTATAAGTTGGAGTCTACTCAATGATAATAGGTTTAGAATAGAAAAAGGAAATTAGTAAAAAGTTATTGAAACTAGAATGTAGTGTAGTTAGTGTTATGTGCCGTGAAGATGGAATTTACTCATAGCTGACCCTCCAGTATATTTTCAGAGGTGATAAAACTAGAGAGGTGGTTGCCCATCTTTCTTCCTCAGAGCAGGTGGTAGATTTGAACCACTTGCCTTTGAGTTGGTAGTGTCACTTCTTACTACTAAAAATTTAGTTTAATAATATGGTGGTGGTGGTGGTGATGATGATGATAATAATAATTCCTTAGTCTTGATATTTGTGTTATGACCTACAACACAGTTAACATTAGAGGAAGCCGAATGAAGATTTGTTTGGTTTTTGCAAGTTATTTTCTAAATTTCAAATATCCTGAATTAATAATAAATTTTAAAATTCTATGTTAACTTTTATAGGAGGTTGGTCACTTATATGTAGTTTGTGTATCTGTTAAATAACTTCCAGGAAGAAAAATAGTCTTTAAATTGGCAGTTATATATGTATGTGTATCATATCCCAAACCAAAAGCTAAACCCTCTATTATGAGTTGGTTCTGATTCATAGAGAACCTTCATTGGATTTTCTAGGCTTTAAATTTTTACAGCAGTAGACTGCCTCTTTTTGTCTATTGGATTAGCTGGTGGATTTGAACTGCTGACCTTTAGTTAGCAAAACACTGTAACTGTGGAGCCCCTTCTATATAACATGCACGTATATATATGCTTTACACATACGTGTATATACATATAAGCATTCATGTTTATATACGTAAACATGCACGTGTATGCATATGTAAACATAAACAAACACACATACATATTCATATTATTAAAAACAGGGAGTTTTTGGTGGCCTAGTGGTAAAGAGTTGCACTGTCAACCTGAAGCAGTATGATTCAAATCCACCAGCTACTCTTTGGGAGAAAGATGAGCAGTCTTCTTACATGCAATTTACAGCTTCTGAAAACCCATTGGAGAATCAGCTATGAATTGAGAGCTCCCTATAACAACACAAAATATATAAAAATTATGTGTGTATGATACATGCATGTATATGTATGTAGCTAAAGTATAATAAAGAGCTAATCTTTTATTTAATGGACCTGTAGAAACTGTGTAATAAAGATTGAGACATAAACCCACTATCTTTTATGTATACAGTGATAATTTTCATAACTATAGTATATATATGAGTCAACTTGATGACACCTCATAAATGACAATGAAACAATTTTATGCTTATAAGCAACTTATATAATGCTTTCCTATTTAATTGTAAAATAGGAATTTATGTTACTGTAAACTGTCTTCATGGAAATTTTATTTTATCATCTCTTTTGTTTATTTGGAACTGCAGTGTTTTAAAATTCTTTTAAGAGTTTGGGTCTAGAAATAGTACTTTGAACTTTGATCATTGTACATACCATATCTCCTGGTCAAAAGTGTTATTTTAGTGTGTGTCTGTCTTATTTTCTGAAAGTATAGTTTATGTGGCTCTCTCCTAGTAATAGCATTTCCCCTCAAATAAAATTTGGTATTGTTCTTTTGAGAGTTAAACGTTTGCATTTATATGTCTATAAAGGGATTTTTTTTCCTTGTCATTTTTGGTCAGTCCTCAACTATAGATGCAGCTAAGCCTACTTACACCTTCCTGCAGAAGCAAAGTAGTGGTTGCTATTCACTTTCTATTACATCTAATCCAGATGAAGAATGGCGAGAAGTCAGGCACACCGGCCCTGTTCAGAAGTATGTACTGTGTCTTAAATTAGAAATTTAGTTTGTTGCTGCTTGTTACTAGTTCATGTTTTGAGTTTTACAGTTTATTCTGATAGTTATTAATTTTTTAAATGAGAAAGCATTAAGAAACTGTATGAGGAAAACAATAAATAGTTTCATTCAGTGTTGCATTTTCACCAACTATTTGATTTCCTCTGTTTGCAGCATTTTTTTTTCTATTATTTGTTTGCTTTTTAAGTCTTAACTATCTTAGTGCAATTAAATGATAACTGATTAAAATTTTGATTTGTTTCTCTATTGTCGAGCATTTTTTTTTCCCCAGATGTGTTTGGTGGCCACTTGAATATCCTTGTTAGAATTTCTATTCAAATTCCTTGTTCTTCTATTAATTCAAAGATAACACTTTGTCCTTGAGTTGGAATTGACTCTCATAGACTGACCATCTGATGGGTTTTTAGAGGTTATAAATGGTGTGGGAAGAGATTGTCTCATCTTCCTCCTGTAAAGCAACTAGTGGATCAGTTGCCTTTGGATTGGCAGCTCAACTCTTCATCCATTAGGCCACTGGAGGTTCCATATGGTTGGGTTATTTATTTTTATGTTGAGTTGTTGAAGTGTTATATATATATGGTATTGGATTTTTAGTTTGTGCTTCAGATGAAAGTTTACACAGAAAAACAGTTTTCCAGATTTCTTTTCTGATTTCTGATTTCTCTTTGTCTAGTTTTCTTGTGCTTTTCTGATTTTTATCTTTGCTTTTTGGTAAATGATGCCTTTTTTGGTCTTGTGTACTTGATTGTTCTAGGGAGCTCATTCTTCATGGAAACTTTTTTTAAAAAATCTTTGCTTATTAGTTTCATATTTATTATATGATTTCAGTATGATTTCTATGATTACTAAGTAGTGAAATCACTAGTTAGTAGTAGTTTTCTATTTTATTTTTTTTTTAGGGGTGAGTAAAATCTTTTGATGAACAAAGTTTTAAATTTTTATGAGGTCCTTTTTATTTTGTCTTTTGCTATTTCTCCTTGTCTATTATAAGTTTACAATTTTAGTTTTACTATTTAATTACTTAATCTATGTAGAATTTATTTTCATTGCATCGGCTTGTTAAAAATTAAAAATCGTAAAAAAAAATTAAAAATCGTGTAGAAGAGACACATCTTCAATGGTATTGTATTTGATTGATATATAGCTCATTGACTAGATAGATAAATAATTGAAGTTAACTTACCTGAGAAAGCTTGAAAGGGAAAAAGATGATAATTCAATGAAAATATCATTAGTTGTGTGGTTCTGTCAAGTAGACTGTGACTCATAGTGACTCTGTCAGTAACAGATTGGAACCTTGCTCGACCTTGCTACTGATACCTGATATGCAGTAGTAATAGCATGAAGTAAAATGTCATTGTTCTAGCCTTTCATTATTTTTTTTACCCCACAGACTTTAGTTATAGAATCTAGAATATTGTTCTATATAACAAATCTCTTTGATACTAGAATTTTGACTACTGATATATTTTAACCCTATTTTGACTTTTCAAGGTTGATTGTATATCCTCCACCACCTACTAAAGGAGGATTAGGAGTAACTAGTGAAGATCTGGAATGCTTAGAAGAGGGAGAGTTTCTTAATGATGTAATCATTGATTTCTATCTTAAGTAAGTATAGAGTTAAATTATCTTCTAATTTGTTTTGCAGATTTTACTAAATATGTCTGTCTCAGATATTTTCAAATTAACAAACAATAATCTTTTTCAAAATATTTCAAAAAAAAAATAATCTTGTGCAAAACCACTTACTTGCCAGAATTTTCTGGACTTGATTTTTTCATTTTAGTTGTTTACTTATTTGTTTTAGAAAAACTTTTTAGTTATTTGTCTTTTTTTAAAATATATTTGCTTTTGCTCTACTCTATCCTTATGTTGAAAGAAATACTAACAATTCACTCTCAAAATAGAAAGACAACTCTCCTCTCTTAACTTCTGTATCTTTAAGCAATGTAATAATTAACTATCCTTTGGAAACTCTTTACATATATATTTATATATATAAATTTTTATATATATATTTATTTATATATATACGTTTTTATATATATATATAAATTCTTCCTACTCTTTGTAAACCTTGAGCTGAAGGAATAATATAGAAGCTCTTAGAACTTTAACACAAATCAAACCTGTTTCCAACCTTCATTTTAGAAGCACACTGAAGGTAACTTCCACTTATTTTACAGACTCTTTATCTAACCAAATTTATCACCATCTTACTTAAGCTCTATTGTCTTATTATACTGTTTATACTAATTACTTAGTTCAGAATTCAGTCTTATAATTTTCTCTTTAGTTCAATCATGATGGATGTTAATTTCCAGACTTTTGTTTTGGATTTTTAAAAACAATTGTTGTTGTTATATGCTGTCTAGTTGCCTGTGACTCAGCATTACATTTTAAAAAAAGAAGATGGAAAGAATACACAGAATCACTGTACCAAAAGAATTAACTGACACTGAAATATTTCAGGAAATACCATATGATCAAGAGCCAATGTTAAAAAAAACAAAAACCCACAGCCAGTAATGAAAGAAGAAAGAAGACATTCAAGCTGCACTGAAGGCATTGAAAAAAAAATAATGTCCCAGAAATTAGTAGAATACCATTTGACACATTTCAAATGAAAGGTGCAGCCCTGGAAATGCTTACCTGTGTGTACTTGGAAATTTGGAGGACAGCAACCTGGCTATGACTGACTGGAAAAGATCTGTATTTGTCCCATTCCCAAAAAGAGTGATCCAAAAGAATGTTGAATTTATCAAACAGTAACACTGATAGTATATTCAAGCAAAATATTGCTGAAGATCATTAAAAAAATGGCTAGTACAGTATGTAGACAGAGAACTACCAGATGGTTAAGCTGGCTTCCATTGCTTAGAAGAGACTGTGGTGCCATGGATATCATTGCTGATGTCAGGTGGATCCTGGCTGAAAGCAAAGAATAACTGAAGAATGTCTATTTGTGCTTTATTAACTATGCAAAGGCATTTGACTCTGGATCATACAAAGTATAATTAACATTGAAAAGAATGGGAATAACAGGACATTTAATTGTGCTTGTGTGAAATCTGTCCTTAAACCAGGAAGCTGTTGTGTAAACAGGGCAAGGGAACACCACATGCTCTAAAATTAGGAAAGGTGTGTATCTTTCCCGCATACTTATTCAACCTGTATGCTAAGCCAATTACTTGAGAAGTTGGACTCTCTGAAGAAGAGCTTGAAGGAAGACTCATTAGTAATCTTTGTTACACAGATGACACAACCTTTTTTGCTGAAAGTGGAGAAGACCTGATGTGTTTGCTGCAGAAGATCAAGATCTACAGCCTTCAATATGGATTGTGCCTTAACATCAAGAAAACAAAAAATTCTTGCCATTGGACTAATAGGCATCATCATGATAGATGGAGAAAAGATTGAAACTGTCAGCAACTTCATCATACTTATATTCACAATCAGTACACTTGGTACGAGTAGTCAGATCAGGAGATGTATTGCACTGGAAACTCTGTAGTCAGGCATCTCTGCATATTATTGAGGAACAATGATGCCACTTTGAGGACTATGGTAATCTGATTTCAGGCCATGGTCCTGGCTATCATTTTCTGTACATCTGAGAGCTGGACAATAAATAATGATGACAGAAGAAATATTGATGTCTTTGAACTGTAGTGTTGGAGAAAAGTACTGACTGTCTCGTGGACCACCAAAAGAACAAATTGATACTTGGAGAAAGTGCAGCCAGACTAGTTGTTGGGGGCAAAGATAATAAAGCTTCATCTCACATACTTTGGGCATGTTGCTAGAAGAGGTTGTTCCTTAGAGAGGAACATGATTCTTGAAAGGGTGGAGGGATGGCAAAGGAGAGGAAGATCTTCAGCAGAGTAGATTGATGTAGCAGTGGGCTTGAGGGTATCAGGGATTGTGAGGATGGGCATGATACGACAGGATTCAGTCCTATTGTTCATAGTGTTGCTATGAGTCTTACTTAAGGGCACCTACAAACAGCAACAGCAAGAGCTATTGTAGCTCTTTAATGTAATTTTTAGTTTTCCTTGCCTGATGTTTCTCTTTTATTATGAGTTCAGTTTGGTGTTGGGTTTTCCCCATCAAAAAGTCTGATAATTTAAAAAAAAAAAGATTATTTTTTTATTGGTTGGACTACACACAGAGATTAGCATTTTCTACCTGTACAGTCAGTGACATTATTTGAGTTGAACCACCATTCTCCCCCTCTTGTTCCCAGTTGTTCTTCCCTCAATAAGGACTGGACTTAGTTTCAAGCTAACATTTCTTTCTCATCTTTTGAGTTGTTGTCATTAATTTGATCTCCTATAAATTGAGCACAACGGTCAAGGCAGACATTTTGTACTATTTTAGCTAAACTCTGGGGTTTTGGTGGCATAAGCTGTGGCGAGTTGCGTTGCTAACCCAAAATATTTGTATTTCGAGTAACTTAAATCTGCCAGCAGGATGGATGGTCTTCTCATTTTGTTATTTATAGCCTTCAAAACCTGATGAAGGGTTGCTCTGAGGTTGAACTCACTCAAGAGTGGTGAGTTTTAAGAAAGTTTGGTTTGTTGTAAAAAAGATTTCAGGGAATATCTTGGGTAAAAGTTTAAAGATTAATTTAGGGCAGTAGTTTCTGGAGTTTGTCCAGGCTCCATGGCTCCAGAAAGTTTGGAGTTCATGAAAATGTGAATTCTGTTCTGCATTTCACCTTTTGATCAAGTATTTGTTATGTAGAACCTTGATCAGTAATAAAGTGTTCAGTAATGGCAGTTAGATACCATCAGTTTTTCTGGCCTCATGGCAAAGGAAGCAGCGGTTCATGGAAGCAATTAACCGCACGTTCTGCATCCACTTTATCTTTCTGATTCTCCTTTTTTCTATTTCCAGGCAAATAGAGACAAATTGTTATGCCTTGGATGGCTACTTTCAAGCTTTTAAGACTGCAGGCATTAAGAAGGTAGAATAGAAACATTAAACATGCTGTCAGGCTCACTTGGGATGTCCCATGAAATTATGACTCTAAACTTCGAAGCTAAGGAGCCAAAGCCCATGAGATGTTTGATATATATATTTTTTTACAGCCTTAGATGCTACTCTTTTATATATTATTTTAAATATATCCATCACACAACTTTTGCTAGTTGTTTCTTTGACATATGCAGTTTATAGACAGCAGTGATAATAATCTGCTGTGCAGTTTTTATCCTTAGTAAATGTGATTTTTTTATCACCATCACCTCTTGTTATGACCCTTCCTTCTCACTGGTAACTCTTATTAATAATCTTTGATCTATATACATTTGTTATTTCTTCTCTTTTTGTTTTTGTGAAGTCATTACCAGTGTTTGTCCTTTCCTGATTGTCCTTTTGCTCAGCATAATCTCTTCATGCATCAACATAGTGAAGCATGTATTCTGATTTTGTTTCTCTTACTAATATTTTATGTATGTACCACTGTTTGTTAATCCATTCTCCTGTTGGTAGGCATTGAATTTGTTTCTTTTGGTTATTATGAATAGTGTTGTAATGAACATTGGTGCATTAATAACTGAGTCTCTGCTCTCAAGTAATTTTGGCTATATACCTAGGAGTGGAGTTGCTTGATCAGATGGGTAGTTCTATTTTTGAGGAATTATTAACCCAGTTTTCCACAGCGGATGCATTTTGCATTCTTTCTAGCAATGGATAAAGAGCCTAATTGTTCTGATGTCTCCAGATCTTCTCCACCTTTTGTATTTTCTGTTGTTTTAGTGGTTTTTTTGAACTTCGGAAAAAATTTTAGCCGTTCAGTGGGAGTGAAATGGTATCTCATTATGCTTTTGATTTATATTTGTCTAATGTCTAATGATGCTAAAAATCTTCTCATATGTTCAATGATCATTTGAATACTTTCATAAATGAAATGTCTATTCATAGTTTTTTTTGCATATTTGTGAGTTTTTAAAATGAAAGGTCATGCAATGTGAATTTTACCTTATTTAGTACTGATTATTTTGGTGTTTCTGAAAGTATTTTTAAGCTTTACTTTGGGACATAGGTGGGTAGTTTGCAACCAGTTGATACTTTTTGGAATCTTACTTTTAAGATTTGCTAGGTAAATCCAACAACAAATTCCCCTTGCTGAAGAAAGATCCTTTTGAGTATTACCCAGTGCCTCACAAATTAGTAAGTTTTCCTTTTTAACTAATAGCAATACAATCAAAACAGCATTAATGGACTGTATGAACAATGCCTACCACTTCTAATTTTTTGGTTGGTTTTTCTCCCCAGCCTAGGTTCCTTTTCTCACATGCTTGCAGTGATAAATGCTGTGCCCAAAGAAAACGGATTGTCTAGAATTTTTGCAGGAAATCACTTTCTCTTTTAGTGTTTTGATCTGTGTACTATGTTTTGATCTCTCCAGAATATCAGTTCTGTCTCTTCAGCCCAGATAGTCTGCTGATCTTCACCTGGGTAATTTCTGTCTGTGTCACAACCTGGAAACTCCAAGGCTGGGGCAATAGTAGGATTCACTTTGCTTGTTTCCTCCTTTCAGGGATTAATGTTTTTTTCCTGCCTAATATCCAGTTAAGGCTTTTTTTTAATGTTTCTGTCTTCCCCCCCGTCTTATTTCAAGAAGGGTGGGTAAATTCAGTCCCTGTGACTTAATCTTAAAGTCACCATTATCATTTACAAGTCCCCCTTTTTGTCTCTTACTGTATATTTTAGTTAGCTGCCAGGTGCAGTAGACTGATTCCCAAATTAACTTACATTTTAGTGCCATTTCACCTTACTGTTTATTTTACCTAAATTGTTTTAAATTGTTTGTAAAAATTTCTTGTGTATGCTTTGTTTTTCCCAAGTCAGTTTCTACCAGCATTCTACTTAAACTATTATATAAATATAGTTCCTGTGAGAAATTTTTAGTAATTTCTTATTGTCTGTCAGAATGAATTTAAAACACATTTTGGTGTCTTGGTTCTATGACACTGATCTCCCTTTTCAGCTCTGTTAAACAGATTACCTTGTACATATCACACTATCCTGCAAAACTGAATTTACTGTACACACTCTATCCTTATTTTCTTACCCAGGTTAATATGTTTTTCTCTCAAATTATATTTTCATGAAACTTTTCCTGATCTTCTAAAGAAGTATTATTAACTTCTGTAACACTTTGTTTGCATATTTTTTATAGTATTTTAATATTTTATATAATGTTATTTGCGGGTATTATTATCATTCTATTTTTTAAAAGGTCAATGTCTATATATCTTAATTTTAACATTTTTTATGGTAGATAGATATGAAACAAAATTTTGAAAAGGGGACAGTAGTAGCATAGTTCAAAGAATGTGATTAATGTCACTGAATTGTATACATATAAAAACAATTGAATTGGGATTTACTTTGCTGTGTATATCCTATAAAACAACAACAACAACAAAATAAAGTACTTGACCATTTCACCATTTTTATACATGTACAGTTTAATGATGCCTTGCTCATTGTGTTTTTTGATTATCACACTATCAGTTTCTGTCACCTTTATTTTTTTTTCACCTTTAGCAGAACTCACTGTCTGCTAAGCAATTGGTGTTTTTCTCTTCCTTTCTGTCTTGTTTATTTTTGTATCTCTTTAGTACCAAATTCCTATTTCATGAGGTGAATTGAATGAAGTGTTTTATTGGATTTAATCGATTAAATAGCTTTGTTTTTTCAAAACTGCCTAGAACTTCACCTTATTGACTTGAGGGGATTGTAACTCTATTTTGAAAACAACTTTTTTTTAGAGTTATGAATAACTTGAAAGAAGTAAAATGTGTACACATTTTTAACTACAATGTTTGCACACACACACACACACACACACACTCTCTCTCTCTCTCTCTTTCTCCCCCTCTCCCCCTTTGTAATCATCATTTAGGGTAAGTTAGAGGAGAATTTTGAGAACCCTAGGAGGATCCCTTGCTTCTGTTTTCCAGGTAGTACACTCCCTATATAACCACCTGTAAAGCATTTCAATTTATTTTTAAATTTTTTTCTTTTTTTTTTCCAATTTATTTTTATTTCTTGATTTTTTTACAGTAATTACAACGTCATTTGAAACTACATATGTTATTACAGATAGCTTAGTATTATATAATTATTCCTAATTATGAAGCATTTAATTGCTAAATGTTTGAATTGCAAGTTTATGCTACTTTAATATTTGAATAACCTAAGGATTTAGAAAGAAAAAGTAATTTTATACTTATTTATAGTATATTAGTTTCCATTTTAGTTTGTGTCATTGATTTAATTAATGTTTCATGTTGCCCTCACCTTTAAAGTACAAAAGGTGTAATGTAAAGCTTTGTGTAGCCAAGGATTCTGCTGGCTTTTACAATTTCTTTTCCTTCTTTTATTGTGCCACTAGTTAGAACATGTTAATAATTTGATAAATATTTAAAATTAATGAGTATGTGTATAATTTTTACTTTATTAATCTTGTTGCAAGATGAGGTAACTAGAATAAATAGAAAATGAAAATAAGCAAACTATCAGAACTGCAATAGATTTTGAATATAATTCAATATGAAAAAAATAAGATTTCCAAAGTACATAAATAAAAAAATAAGTGTAGTGGACTAGGGAAGACCTAAAAATAATTGACTTTTGTGGGCTTTCTACCTTACAGGTATCTTATATTGGAGAAGGCGTCAGAGGAACTTGTTGAACGAAGTCACATATTCAGTAGCTTTTTCTATAAATGCTTGACAAGAAAGGAAAATAATTTAACAGAAGATAATTCAAATCTTTCGTAAGTCTTATGTTCTAATGTAATTAAGATTGAAGAATAAAATATACTGCTTTAATAGTACATAGTATTTCCTGAAGTAAACAGTATCACTACTTGCTTTTACAGACACACTTTCCACTACCACTGTTCTATTTTCTATTACAGAGTGGCTTGAATCCTGGCAAGCTGCATTTCTAAAGTCAGTAGAGTACACTTGGAGGTAGTTGATATTATGTACCATTGAGTCAGAACTTCATAGCTGACTTTATGACTGTAAATTGCAGACTACTGATCTTTGTACCTCAGAACAGCTGGTAGCTTTGAACTGTGTCCCTTTGTATTGACAGCACAAGCACCTTCCTGCTAGATCACCAGAGCTCTCTCTTGGAGATTTAAAAGACAGGAAAAGAAACACAGGATTTTGGAAATGGTTCCATTTCCTCTAAGGGTGTTCAGGGCTGGCAGAACTCTAGGTTTTTTCTGGGGATACTGTTTCTTTGCCCTCCAGTTTCTGGTATTTCCAACATCTAGTTGGCTCACTGTCCCTCTATTTTAGCTTTGGATCTTTCCTGTCTTCTCTTGAAGGCATTTTCTGCATTAAATTTTGTTATAAATGTGTAGTTTTCTTTTTGTTTTCCTGGTTGAACCCTTAGGGAGCTCTAGTGGCATAATGGTGAATAGTTGCACTGGGAACCAGAAGGCAGACACTTGAGGCTTGTTTTTTTTTTTTAAAAAAAAAGTTTATTTTGTACTGGGTTACATACAAAGTTCATGTACATTGTTTTTCACACCAACCTTTCCCCTTTTCTTTACCAGTCCCTCTCTCTACCCACCAAATTATGCGACCCTATGTTTGAGCTACCCCCTTCATTCTCGTTCATGCTTTATAATAATGGTCCTATACAGTGTTTGTCTTTATGAGAGTGAGTTAGTTCACTTAGCATAATGCTCTCCAGTCCCTCCCATGTTAGGTAGTAATTTACAAAATCGTTGCTTCTGCATGCTGTGTAGTATTCCATTGTGTGAATGTACCATAATTTCTCAAGTCAAGTCATTCCATTGTAGTTGGGCATTTGGGTAGTTTTCATGGTCTTGTGATGGTTAATAATGCTGCCATGAACATAGGTGTACAAGTCTCTGTTTGTACCTCAGTTTTCATTTTCTCAGGGTATATTCCAAGCAGTTAAATAGCTGGATCATGTGAAATTTCTATGTTCAACTTCTTGAAGACATGCCAAACTGCCTTCCAGAGTGGTTGTACCATTTTACAATCCCGCCAACAATGTATAAGAGTTCCTATCTCGTCACATCCTCTCCAGTGTTTATTACTTCCTGCCCTGCTAAACTTTGCCGCTGCTGTTGGGGTAACATGGTATCTCGTTGTGGTTTTGATTTGCATCTTTCTTATTGCCAGTGACTTTGAGCATTTCTTCATGTGTCTGTTGGCCTCTGAATGTCCTCCTCTGTGAAAAGTCTTTGTATGTCTTTTGCCCATTTTGTAATTTGATTATCAGCCTTTTTCTTCTGAAGGCCCTGTGTTGTTGTTGTTAGGAGCTGTCGAATTGAGCACAACTCATAGTGATCCTGTGAACAAAAGATCTGAACCCTGTTCTGTCCTGCACCATCCTCACACTTCCTGACACACAAGAGCCCTTTGCAGCAGTCATCATGTCAGTCTACTTCTTTGAGGGTCTTCCTTTCCTTACTAACCCTTTGTTCTTCCCAGCATCTTGCCCTTCTCCAAAGAATAGCACCTCCTAGCAACATGTCCAAAGTATGTGAGGTGAAGCCTCATCATTCCTGCCTCCAAAGAGCACTCAGGCTGCACCCTCTCCAAGACATATCTATTCATTCTTTTGGCCATTCATGGGATATTCAGTGCTCTTCTCTAACACCACAGTTCAAAGGCATCCATTCCTTTTTCTGTCATCATCATTCATTGTACAGCTCTCAGATGCATAGCTAGTGATCAGAAGGACTATGGCCTGAATCAGATGCACCTTAGTCCTCAAACTAACAATCACTCCTCCTCAATAATTTGAAAAGGTACTTAACTGCAGATTTTCCCAATGAATTGTGTCTCCTTATTTCCTGATTGCTTATACCAAAGGTGTTAATTGTGGATCCAAGCAAGTTGAAGCTATTGAAAGTTTCAATCTCTTCTGCACCCATCATGGCACTGCGCATTGGTCCAGTGCTAAGAATATTTGTTTTCTTGATATTGAGATGCAATCCATACTGAAGGCTGTATTTCTTGATCTTTTGCAACAAGTGCTTCAAGTCCTCCTCACTTTGAGCAAGTAAGGTTGTGTCATCTGCATAAAGCAGGTATTGATGAATCTTCCTCCAATCCTGATGCCACATTCCTCTATAGAGTCCAGCCTCTTGAATAATCTTCTCAGCATATAGATTAAACAGATATTGAGAGAGAATACAACCCTGATGTACTCCCTTTCCAGTTCCAAACCATACAGTGTTTCCCTGTTCCATTTGCACCACATCCTCTTGATCCAGGTATAGGTTCCACATGAGTGCAATCTAGTGACTGGGATTCCCATTCTTCCCAGTATCAGCCATAACTTGTCATGACCCTCACAGTCAAATGCCTTTGCATAGTCAACAAAGCACAAGTAGACATTCTTACGATATTCCTTACTTTCAGCCAGGATCCATATGACATCAGCAGTGATATCCCTGGTGCCGTGGTCTCTTGTAAGTCCTTCTTAAACTTCTGGCAGTTCCTTATCTATGTACTAGTCCATTCATTTTTGAATGCTCTTAAGCAGTATTTTGCTTGCATGTAATATCAGTGATATTGCTCAATAATTTCCATATTCAGTTCGATCACCCTTCTTGGAAATAGGAACAGATATGATCCTCTTCTAATCCGTTGGTCAGACAGCTGTCCTTCAAATTTCCTAGCATAGACTGATGAGTGCATCCAAGGCAGCATCAGTTACTGAAACAGATCACTTGATATCCTGTCAATTCCTGGGGCCTTGTTTTTTGCCAGTGCCTTCAATGTAATTTCTCCTTCCTCCTTTATTACTCTTGGCTCCTGATAATTAAAATAAGTCCACAGGAACCAAGATATGATCTTGGACCAATTCCATCTGAATTTCATGATCATCTTAAAAATAGGTTTGAGGCATTGAACACCAATGATAAAGGACCAGAAGAGTTGTGGGCTGATACCAAGGATATCACCCATGAAGAAAGCAAAAGGTCATTACAAAAACAGATGTGGAAGAAAAAAATCAAAATGATGTCAGAAGAGACTCTAAAGATTGTTCTGGAGCATCGAGAAACCTAATCTAAAGGATAACATGTAGAAGTGAAAAGAGCTGAACAGACGATTTCAAAGGGTGACTCGGGAGAACAAAACAAAGCATTATAATAGAATGTGCAGAGAGCTGGAATTGGAGAATAAAAAAGGAAGAACTTACTCTGCCTTTCTCAAGCTGAAAGAGCTGAAAGACAATTTTAACCCTCATGTTGCAATATTGAAAGATGCTATGGGCAATATATTGAATGACCCAGAAAATATCAAGAGAAGATGGTAGAATACACAGAATCACTGTACCAGAAGGAATTGATTGACACTGAAAAATTTCAGGAAGTACCATATGAAAAGGAGGCCCTGTAAGATTTTGTAAACTTTCATTATGAGACCCTTGTTTGAGACGATCTTGCCATATGTTTGTTCCCAGTCAGTAGATTTTCTTTTCATTCTCTTGGAAAAAGTTTTTGATGAGCACACAGATTTAATCTTTAGAAGGTCCCATTCAACAGTTTTATCTTCTTCAGTTTGTGTATTTCTGGCTGTAGTTGGCAGTCCCTTTATACCGTACACTAAGCCTTCTAAGCTTGGTCTCAGTTTGACTCTTAAGAAATTATGGTTTGGGGCTTTAATCTGAGGTCTCTAATCAACCTTGATTTGATTTTTGTGTATGGTGTGAGATGTGGGTCTTGTTTCAGCTTTCTATAGGTAGCAGTCCAGTTTTGCCAGGACCATTTGTTAAAGATGTCATTTCCCCATTTGAAAAGTTTTATTTCCTTGTCGAGTATCAATGAACTATAGATAAATGGGTCTGTTTCTGGTTTCTAAACTCTGTTCCACAGGTCTGTGTGCTTGTGATTGGACCAGAACCATGCCGTTTTGGTTACTGCTTCTGTGTAGTAGGTTTTGTGGTCAGGGAGTGGTATGCCTCCCATTTCATTTTTGTTTTTCAGAAGTACTTTGCTTATTTGGGGTCTCTTTCCTTTCCAAATAAACTTAACAATTTCTCTTTGAACTCCTTGAAAACTGAATTTGATGTCTGTATTGTGTTGAACATACAGATTGCTTTTGGTAGGATTGTCATTTTCACAATATTGAGTATTCCTATCTATGAAGAGTGCACATTTTCCCATTTCTTTAGGTCTTTTATTGTGTCTTGCAGAAGTGTTCTGTAGTTTTCTTTGTATAAGTCTTTTGTATCTTTAGTTAGGTTCACTCCCAAGTATTTCAATTTATGGTTGGCTGTTGTAAATGGTATAGCTTTCTTGGTTTCTTTCTCTTGAGTTCTCTCTTTTTTTTTTTTAAATTTTTTATTTTTTTTTAAGGGATCCTGGTTTTTTTAAGGTTCTCCTATTGATTATTATAAAAACTTGTTAATTTTTGAAAAACAAACAGTTGTTTTCAATTATTTTGCACTATTACCATTGTAAGACGAAAACAACTGCTTAAAACATCAACCTTTATAAACTATTTTTGCTGTACTTTATAGGTAACCTGGTAACATAGTTGGTACTATGCTCCACTGCTAAGTGTAATGCTGGCTGTTCAAATCCAGCACCTCTTCTTTTTTTAATTTTTATTTTTATT